GTTCAGCATCTTAGCTGTAGAGGGCAGTGTCACTGGCCCTCCTATGTGGGATCCGAACCGGGGCCCTCTGGCATCCCAAGCCAGTTCTTAACCATTGCGCCCTCGGCCGGCCCCAAGATATTACTATATTTATTACTAGGATGTGGTCATAGAAATTTGAGGGTGATGGAGATTAAAACTTGGAGAAATGGGAGTTGGAAGTATTCTACAAACCTAGGCCCTAGGAATGACTGCACACCTGCCTTTCAGAGTGCAGCCTGATAGAAGGTGAAGACCACGTAGAGGTAAACGGAGCTGTCTTTCCCAAGCCCTTTGTGGAGAAGCCAGTGAGTGCAGAGGACCACAACGTTTACATCTACTACCCCAGCTCAGCTGGAGGAGGAAGCCAGCGCCTCTTCCGTAAGGTATGGGTGACATTTGAGCATTGGGGCGTCAGAGGTAGAAGGACAAGAATGAAGTTGTGGGGAGGGAAGTTGGAGGATTTGGGGACAAAGAAGAGGAACATTCTTTTTTTTGTTTTCCTTCCTTTTCCTTCTGAAGATTGGCAGCCGAAGCAGCGTTTACTCTCCTGAGAGCAGCGTCCGAAAGACAGGGTCATACATCTATGAGGAGTTTATGCCAACAGATGGCACAGATGTCAAGGTTATGGTGGCTACAGGGATTTAAGAGGTTATAAATGTCTGGCTGGGATGGGGTGCTTGAGGAGCAAGTGGAAGCATATGGAGGGGTCATAGAAAATGAAGTGTGAATGTGAGTGGCTTTCATATGCAGGTGAACATAACAAGTGGGGTAGTAGATATTTTCACTATCAGAGAAAGGACAAGGGTGATGTGGCAGATGGTGTAATGTTGGTAGGTTATTTCTTATTAAGGCCTAGGTGATAGTGCTGGAGTCCCAAGGAGAAACCTTCATAATGATACTTCAGTAGGGCTCAGTAAGAAAAATGTCAGTCTCCTTGTTCTTAATACTCAGGGTGTTTTTTTTGTTTCGTTTTTGTTTTTTGTTTTTTTACTCCAAAACTATAGTCTACAGACCTAGTGCTCACATTGTCTTCTCATATGCAGGGTGAGCTGTGGGCATACTCAGTGATGCTATGTACCTGCAGGTGTATACAGTGGGGCCAGATTATGCCCATGCTGAAGCCAGAAAATCTCCAGCTTTGGATGGGAAGGTCGAACGAGACAGTGAAGGGAAAGAAATTCGATATCCAGTCATGCTGACCGCCATGGAAAAGTTGGTGGCCAGGAAAGTCTGCGTAGCTTTTAAGGTAGAGGAATGCCCATGGTGGGGTGGGGGTGGGGTGAGGGGGGAAGGTGGGGAAAGGCGGGGGTGCTGTGAAAAGAGGGAGAGAGACAGGAGCAGGGGTCTGGGAAGAAAAAGTGGCTCTCTTTTTTTTTAACATTTTATTTTTTTTAATTTAATTTAAAATTTTTATATTAGTTTCAGGTATACAAAACAGTATAATGATTAGACATTTATTTACACGCTTCACAAAGTGATAAACCATCCCCCCCAAGTCTACTACCCCCCTGACATCGTATATAGCTGTTATAATACCATTGACTCTATTTCCTATGCCCTTGTTCTCACCTTGCCTCTTTCCTCTGCAGCAAACAGTTTGTGGTTTTGACCTTCTTCGTGCCAATGGTCACTCCTTTGTGTGTGACGTCAATGGCTTCAGTTTTGTCAAGAATTCGATGAAATACTATGATGACTGTGCCAAGATTCTGGGGTAAGGGACACAGTGGCCTGGGCTGGGGAGAATGGGCTTAAAGAGGAGAGTTAGAAAGCTTTTGCTTTAATTTAAATACTGCAAAAATGATTTGAAAGTGAAAAAGGAAAATGGAGAAAGGGCTTCCCTTCTTGCCTTCCCAACACTGCACTCCCTAGAGGTAATTACTGTTAATCGTCTTAGCCGTAACAGCATCTTTTTCTGCCATGTATAAACAAACTATGTTTATTGTACTAAATGTGATCATACTGTAATACTGTTTTACAATTTGACTTTTAAAAATTCATCACATAATATTTAAAACATTCAAAAATATATAAGGAGCGATGAATATGGTGAGTATCCATGTATTTACCATTGAGCTTAAGAATAAAATATTAAGAATATAGTTGAAGCCCTTCCATAACCCTTACTAATTACATCCCCTTCCCTCCCACCCAGAGGTACCCACAATTCTTAATTTAGTGTTTGTTATTTCCATATATTTATTAATATTTTTACTACAAATCTGGGGGTGTCTTTTCTTGCATAGTTTTAGACTTTATATTAATGTATTCTTCTACAACATACTGGTTTTTGTGCACTTCATTCATATGTGTACTTCTGGTTCATTCATTTTCACACAGCTTCTTTATGTTTCTCCTTCTAGGAACACCATAATGCGGGAACTTGCCCCACAGTTCCAGATCCCATGGTCCATCCCCACAGAGGCTGAGGACATTCCCATTGTCCCTACCACATCTGGCACTATGTGAGCAAAAGCAAAAAAATCTGGAGTAACCAACTTAAGGCACCTAAGTCAGACCAGTGGTTACTTCTTGACCCTGTTCATTCTTACTAGTGGAGTCTGGGTCTCTTCTAGGCAGTTTCCTTAACCCTACCTTATATTCCTAATCTCAGATAGTTTTCCCTCTGTTCTTGGACATATCAAGTAGGATAAAATGATGGGAGGCGGTGTGGGGTGGGATGGAGGAGAGGCTCTAAAAGCATTCCCTGTCTTAGGATGGAACTTCGTTGTGTCATTGCAATTATCCGTCATGGGGATCGTACCCCCAAGCAGAAGATGAAGATGGAAGTGACACACCCAAGGTAGGAAGAGTGTTCTAATTTAGACAAACAGGTTTTTTTTTGTAAGGGAGATGGGGGTGCGGGGCAGTTCCCAGAGGCTTTGACTATCTTACCCTGTACTGAAGCTTCTCCTTATTTCTTTAGGTTTTTTAGTCTATTTGAAAAACATGGTGGCTACAAGACAGGGAAATTAAAACTAAAGCGACCCGAGCAGCTACAGGTAAGATGGTGAATCTGGCTGGGAGGAGCAGTGATTTGTGAAAGATAGAGGGTATGGGATTGGGGGCCTCGAGGAGAGACTGGGATGAAAGGGTAACTGGCTAGGACTTGGCCTCCTACATGTTATTTCTTCCAGGAGGTGCTGGACATCACACGGTTGCTATTGGCTGAACTGGAGAAAGAACCGGGTGGTGAGATCGAGGAGAAGACTGGGAAACTAGAGCAGCTGAAGTCTGTGCTGGAGATGTGAGAAAGGGGGTAGGAAAAGGGACCCAATAACAATGAGACTTAGGAGCTTGGACAGAAAGTAAATTGTGGGTTTATCCTGCAGGTATGGTCACTTCTCAGGCATCAACCGGAAGGTGCAGTTGACTTACTACCCACATGGAGTAAAAGCCTCTAATGAGGGGCACGGTAAGATACAATACCCCCTTCCCATTACCATTCAAATCTCTCTCTTTTTTTTTTAAGATTTATTTATTTATTTATTTATTTTTAATGTTTTTATTGGTGAATTGGGGGAGGGGAACAGCACTCGGGAATTGGGGGAAGGGGAACAGACAAGTTGATGTCCTTTTGTTCTTCAGTCTAGTTGTGGAGGACGTTGCTTCCACAACTTCCCAAGTTGGCCCCATCATTGCGCTCTTCCTGGGCGAGACAGATCAGTCGCCGGCTTCTGGACGGCCGCTCATGGCGGCTGCTGGCCGCTCACGCTGGCTGCTGGCTACACACGGTAGCCCATGGCAACCCACTGCAGCAGGGGCTGCAGCCTATGCCATCGCCGGCGACTCATGGCAGCCCAGCTCCAGGTTGAGCTGTTGTTCAGCATCTTAGCTGTAGAGGGCAGTGTCACTGGCCCTCATATGTGGGATCCGAACCAGGGCCCTAGGGCGTCCCAAGCCAGCTCTTAACCACCATGCCACTTGGCCGGCCCGCTATTCAGATCTCTTATTCTTGAATGCTTAGGCGACCTCAACCCCAGATTACCTTTCTGGGCTCCTCAAAAGACCTAACATTTAGATGTCCTCAGGATTCTCTTTGTAGACCTGTTCACCACCCCTTATTCCTGCAGATCCACAGCCAGAGGCTCTCGGACCATCCCTTTTGCTGGTACTGAAGTGGGGTGGAGAACTGACTCCTGCTGGTCGTGTTCAGGCTGAGGAGCTGGGGCGAGCTTTTCGCTGCATGTACCCTGGAGGACAGGGTGAGTGTTTAGGGGGTGTAAATACCTAGCAGGGCTGGGATAAGATGACTAGGGGATAGGTTCGGAGATGAAGGTACTGAGGCAATGGGGAAGTTAAAGGAGGAATGAGCACGTGGGTATTTAGAGCATGCATTCCTGGCCCTCCCCTTGCCACAGGTGACTATGCTGGCTTCCCCGGATGTGGGCTGCTTCGTCTCCATAGCACTTTCCGCCACGATCTCAAGATCTATGCCTCTGATGAGGGCCGTGTCCAGATGACAGCTGCTGCCTTTGCTAAGGTGCCCACTACAGTTGCCTCACAGCCCCAGCTTCCTTTAGGTAGAGAAGCGGAGAGTTTGGAGAACTAGTTGGGAAATTTTAGGGTGTTTATGTGCTGACTTTTGTGTCTGATTCCATTCTGTACTACTGAGAACAATTAGGGAGGGTGGGCCCCTTGATCTCTACCGCAGTCCTCCAAGCCAACTCTTATTTTATCTCTCAGACCATGTAGGCCTGGGGGGACTGCCCTAGACTGGAAAGAAAACTAATAGACTTTGTGCTTCCCCTCCAGGGCCTTCTGGCTCTAGAAGGGGAGCTGACGCCCATTTTGGTACAAATGGTGAAGAGTGCCAACATGAATGGGCTCCTGGACAGTGATGGTGATTCCTTGAGCAGCTGCCAGCACCGGGTAAAAGCTCGACTGCACCATATTTTGCAGCGGGATGCACCCTTTGCCCCTGAGGATTATGATCAGGTCAGGCTCTCCGGATCTTTGTACACAATATACCCCTGATCCCAAATTCCGAGAATTCTAAACAATAGTAATCTATAATGTACCATGTGCCAGGTACTGTTTTACATGCTTTTCATACATTATCTCAGTTAATCTTTACCCTTTGAGACAAGTATGGGTCTACAATTTCAAAAGTCTCATATCCACAATTTTAAAAATCAAAAAGATTTTTATAGATTTGGAACCAAGATGCATTTGGCAGTAAAACCTGACATGATAAGACTATTTCTAATCCCTATTTACCTCGTTTAGTGTAAATAGTCATACATTTTGCTGCATGTAATGAATGTAAATGTGTTTTGTTATGCCTTAGGCCCTGTTAAAGGTATTACATAATGTATAGCATATGCACTGTATGAACTTCCTAAAGTCTGAAAAATTCTCAATTCTAAACACAGCTGGTCCCAAAGATTTTGAATGAAAGAATGTTTCAGTTATCTATTGCTGCCTAAAAACTACCTCAAAACTCAGTAACATCAAACAACCAACATGTTATTGTCTTACTCATAGTTCCAGGCTCAACTGGTCTTGCTTGGGGTTTCTCCTAATTTGCCCAGATGTTATCCAGATGTTGGAGCTGGAACCATCTGGAGGCTCAACCGGGATGCTGGGATGGCTGGGCTCTCTCCCTTTTCATGCTCTCCCTGTAGTCTCAGGGCCTTTTCTCTTCACATGTTTTCTCCGTGTGATTTCTCTAGCATGGAAACCAGACTTCTTAAATGGTGTAAATAGCCATACATTTCGGGACAGCTTAAGACTCTCCCAAAGCAGAAGCCTCCAAACTTCTTTGAAGTGTAGCCCAGAATTCGCACAACATAACTTTGTTATTTTTTATTGGCTAAGTAGTCACAGGGCCAGCCTAGATTCAAGGGAAGGGGAAGGTGACAAAGAATTAATTTAATGGCCATCTTTAATCCACCTTAAGAACTGTGGACCTGTACTACTTTGCCCCCATTTTACAGATGAGGAAACCTAGGCTTAGAAGAATTTAAGCAGCCTTTCCAAGGTCACCCAGCTAGTTTGAACCCAAGGAACTTAACCCGAGAGCCCAGGCTGTTAGCCACTGCAGTATACTGCTTCACAGTATTAATCACAGTGGATGCCATCGCCCAATGTCATCCTTTTTCCTGTGTATCCAGGCCATTATTGACTGGGTAGCATATGCTAGACAATGATTTTTCACTATTCTACCACTGATAGCTCCACATCTCTGATAGATTCTTAAAATTTATTTATTTTTTAAATTGTAGTACCACTTGAACCTTTTAAATGTGCAGTTCAAGTGGCATTAAGTACATTCACACTGTTGTGGAACCATTTCTTATAGATTCTTAAATGAGCTACGTAGCTGAGCACGTTGCCTAGAGAATGGATTTTTCTGTTTTCTTTTCTGGACAGGGCTGGACCTTGCTTTCTTATTTTCCAATCCATTGCTCGGTGTCAAATCCAAAAAAGCTAAGGCATCTCTTTCCTTTCTCCCTTGTTACCTTTTGCTAACAAGAATGGAACTCTTGAGGACCTAGGTAGAGTGTGTGCATTTCATCCACAGTCCTCTTTGCCTTTCCCCATTCTTCATTGACTGTTACTGTCCTAAAAGCTTGAGTTGGAACCTAGTTCTGAGATGGCACCTCTCCTCTAGGTTCAAGCTAGCATCTTGTTTAGAGAAATAAGATAATGTTATCTCTATTACCCACTCATGAAAACATTCTGTGGGAATTTTTAGGGGTTTTGGTGTAATCTTTATTCCCCAGCATTTTTCATGTTTTTCTGTTTGTTTTTTAAAAAGATTTTTATTGGGGAATTGGAACAGCGCTGGGGAACTGGGGGAAGGGGAACAGACAAGTTGCTGTCGTCTTGTTCCTCAGTCTAGCCGTGGAGGACGCCGCCTCACTGGCCCAAGTTGGCACCATCATTGCACTCCTCCTTGGTGAGGCAGATCAGTTGCCGGCTTCCGGACTGCCACTCACGGTGGCTGCTGGCCACCTACACTGGCTGCTGGCCACACACGGCAGCCCACGGCAACCCACTGCAACAGGGGCTGCAGCCCACGCCGTTGCCGGTGACCCATGGCAGCCCAGCTCCAGGTTGAGCTGTTCAGCATCTTAGCTGTAGAGGGCAGTGTCACCGGCCCCCATATGTGGGATCCAAACTGGGGCCCTCTGGCGTCCCAAGCCAGCTCCTAACCAATGCGCCACTCCGCCGGCCCTTTCATGTGTTTTTTAGAACCCCTCCAAGAAAACCTAGGTCTATTTTATTTCCTCTGTATTCCATGACTTTTAAGACCAGCCCTTCTTAGATAGATGACTGTGTGCTAGAGCAGTCCCCTTATCTGAAGGCCCGAGAACTGCTGGTATGCACAATAGTCTAAGAGTGCTCCTTGGAGAAAGCCGACAAACAGATCTTATTTACAGGCAGCCTCGGCAATAGCTCACAGGAATCTGTGCAATTGGCACTTTGCCTATCTTGCCCTTCATCTCTCTATTCCCCACAGCTGGCTCCCACTGGAAGCACTTCCCTACTCAACTCCATGGCTGTCATCCAAAATCCTGTGAAGGTCTGTGATCAGGTATTCGCCCTGATTGAAAACCTCACTCACCAGATCCAGGAACGGATGCAGGACCCTAAGTCTGTAGGTGGGTATGAATACTATCTTCCCTTCAAGGTTTCAGATATGGTTGGATTCCTCAGACACTCCTGTGTCTTCTAAATGTCTGAGGCATGGCATCCTCATCTCTCTGATTCTACTTCAGTTTTGTTAGGATTTCTTGTTAGAGGTAAAATCCTGACTTCTCTGACACTCTGCCTTCCTTCCAGACCTGCAACTCTACCACAGTGAGACTCTAGAGCTAATGCTACAGCGTTGGAGCAAGCTAGAGCGTGACTTCCGACAGAAGAGTGGGCGCTATGATATCAGTAAGATCCCTGACATCTATGACTGTGTCAAGTATGATGTGCAGCACAATGCGAGTCTGGGACTTCAAGGCACAGCAGAGTTGCTACGTCTCTCTAAGGCACTGGCTGATGTGGTCATTCCCCAGGTGTGTCTCAGATCAGGAATCTAGCCTGGGGATATGGGCATTGAGTAAGGAAGGAGAGAAAAGGCAGAAAGGAGGGGTGGCGTGGGAACCAGGGGAAGGAAATTTAGAGAAGGAATGAGTTGAGTTGCTACAATTCTCAGGGTCTACTCTGGTTCTGAGTCAGTATAAGAGGTTAACTGAGTGGAAACCTGGAGAGGGGGAATGTGGTGGATATGAAAGAAATCCTAGACCTGAGGTGAAGACAAGCATAATCTTGGGCCTGAGAGTATGAGGCAAAGGAAAACAAGATCCACTGAGATACTTATTCTTGGCCTATGGCCCCTAGGAGTACGGGATCAGTCGGGAGGAGAAGCTGGAGATTGCCGTGGGCTTCTGTCTTCCACTGTTGCGGAAGATACTACTTGACCTGCAGAGAACCCACGAGGATGAGTCTGTCAACAAGCTGCATCCCCTGTGAGGGAGGGCTGGGAGGGGAGCTGGATGGAGGGAGGGGCATGTCAGGGAGCCCTTGGGGGAAGCCAGACTGGGACAGCTTGGGGAACCAAGAATAGAAGGGACCCTGGGATGGAAAGCAGAGGAGAAGTCTTTGAGATGGGAGGGGAGGGTTTGTGGAGGGGTGGGAAAGGTTTATCTGACAGTGTGAGTGACTTTGCTATTATCTCAGGTACTCCCGAGGAGTGCTTTCCCCAGGCCGCCATGTTCGAACACGTCTCTATTTCACCAGCGAAAGCCATGTCCACTCCCTACTCAGTGTCTTCCGTTATGGGGGACTTCTTGATGTAAGGATCTTACTTCTTTCTGCAGCCTATGAACATCTTTTCCTAATAGTTTTTTTTTTTTTTTTTAGCTGAGCCATCCTGCTACCTATTGGCAGCTTAGCGGCTGCTCAGCTCAGGCTGGCATCGAACCGCTGTTGCTCAGAGCTCAAACTCTTGAGCGAGCTCTTAACCAACTGAACCACTCGGCCGGCCCTTTTCCTAATAGTTTTTTACTCTCCTCCTCATGCTTCTGTTTTACTTCAAGCTTTCTCTGTTCTTGTCTGTCTGCCCACTCCCTGGCCTTGGCCATCGTCTTTCCTCTTCTTGTGTTCGGTAGGAGACTCAGGATGCACAATGGCAGCGAGCTTTGGCTTATCTCAGTGCCATCTCAGAGCTCAACTACATGACCCAGATTGTCATCATGCTGTATGAGGACAACACACGGGTGAGGAGCTAACAAGGTGGGATGAGTATAGGGCCCCTTCTTTCTTCTCCATTCCCTTTTAGGAAAAAGCTTTCTGATCCTTAGAATTTGTAGAATCTAGCTAGGTGTGGCACCTAGGCACAGCATGACACAGAGCATCTAGGAAACTCCTACTGGACCAGAAAAAGTGTTTGGGGATGGTATTGAGCCAGAGAGATACCACAGAACATACTCTGGCATGAGAGAAGGTGTGGAATTTGGGACAACTTTATAATGAGTCCTTCTCTCAAACATTGTTATACATATGGCTCCACAAGAATATCTTTAAATACAGTGCTGCAATATGCACTGGAGCAAAGCTGAATTATTGTGGGAGATGGACAGGGAGGGTTGTAGGAGTAGAAGTTGGAAAGTCACATGAAGAGGTGAATCTCAAATGATGGAGGTGAGGGAATGAGGATCCTGTGACACTAGACTGTATTTTAAGGGAAACTATAATAGATCATCCCGAGTCAGGTAAGACTGAAACCTCCGCCCTGGGAGGATGTATCCTCTTGAGTTCCTCTCCGTTGTCCCTGCCTGGTCTTCTACCACCATGTCCAGCTCCTCCAACTGCCCCTTCCTCTGGTGGCGCCCCACAGGATCCCTTATCAGAGGAGCGATTCCATGTGGAACTGCACTTCAGCCCTGGAGTGAAAGGTGTTGAGGAAGAAGGCAGTGCCCCAACTGGCTATGGATTCCGTCCAGCCTCTTCTGAGGTGGGTCAGAGTGCTGGGGTTTGGAACTGGAGGATTCAGGAACTGAGTGCTGGGAAACTTGGAAACAGTATAGGGAGGTAAAAGGGTTGGGAAGTCTGGGATTAGGGGGCTGGAGGCCATCATCACCTCTCCTATCTGTGCCTGTTGTTGGATAGAATGAGGAGATGAAGACAGACCAAGGCAGCATGGAGAACCTGTGCCCGGGGAAGGCATCAGATGAGCCAGACCGGGCACTGCAGGCTTCACCTCAGCCCCCCGAGGGCCCTGGCCTCCCAAGGAGATCACCCCTCATTCGGAACCGCAAAGCTGGCTCCATGGAGGTAACGGGAGGGACTTGGGAGAAAGAAGTGGTGGAAGTGCTTATGGGACCGTATCCATGAATCCTCTGAATCCCTTTGGGGGAAGGAGATTCTTAGGACCTTAAGCAGAGTCTTCCTACCCCTGATGGATATGCTTTACTTATCCCTCTTTCACAGCTGGTCTCACAGTAAAACTCCTTTAAGGTGGTTGCTACTTCTGAGTCTAAAGAAATGCCAGTGAGAGGTGCCTGAGAGATAAGGATTTTAAGAGATGAGATTGAGGAGGAGGCCTCTGGATGAATTTGAAAAGACAGTTCTTTAAAAGGAAATATAGTAGAAACAGCAGGTACTGTGAGCTAAAATCCCAATCTGATACTTAGAAGCTGTGTGGCCTTGGACAGGTAACTTCTCCAAGCCTCAATTTTTTTTTTCATCTATAAAATACAAGTAATATCCACCATCTAGATGCTCAGTAGACAGTAACTATAATAACATACGATTGGTATTAGAGGCCAGGCCCTCTCCATCTCTTTGTTGCCTTGTAAAAATGATAGCTCAGACAGAAGCAAATATGTGGTGCTCTAGTTTAATCCCTTTAGAGTTATCTGTACTCTCATCCTAGAAGGGAATCAAATCTGGAAGTCTATCTGATGAGCAGATTTATCAGCTTGGGCCTGTGTTCTGCTATTCTCGGAGTGTGTCTCTAGCCCTGGTTCTAGTTCTCTAGCTAGAGGAAGGAACTGTAAATCTCACATTGTGTCCAGGTAGCTGTCCTGGGGATTTTGTGTTGGTCTTTTGTCCTGGAAAGGTTGTTTCCCTCTTTGGCTCAATGACACTCTTTTTGACCCCATGATTCATCCCAGTCTCAGGGACTCTGTCTGATTTGGGTCTTGCTTTGACAGATAAATCTGTTCACCTGGCTCTGTGCCAGCTCTGTCTTAAAGGAATTGGTCTTTCTATTTTAGGAATATCTCAGAAGAATCTATAATTAGTTTACATAGGTTCAGTCAGAGATTTACAGTTAAGATTTTGGAGAAACCTGAGAAGACAAACTATGGTCTCGTTTTGGACTCATCCGTTTCTTCCTGATGATTTTAAAGTGGATTTGAAGTTGTGAACACTGTTTCTTTCGGTGGGGTATGCATCATTTTCTCTCTGAGGCATATGTTAGCTTAGTATCCATAGCACACCAGTACCCTTTAGACTCACATGAATAGATCAAATGGATAGAATGACATGATCTTCCATCAATAAACTGCTCCTCGGCCGGCCGAGTGGCGCGATGGTTAAGAACTCGCTTGGGATGCCAGAGGGCCCCGGTTCGGATCCCACATATGAGGGCCGGTGACACTGCCCTCTACAGCTAAGATGCTGAACAACAGCTCAACCTGGAGCTGGGCTGCTGTGAGTCGCTGGCGACGGCGTGGGCTGCAGTCCCTGTGGCAGTGGGTTGCCATGGGCTACCGTGTGTAGCCAGCAGCCAGCGTGAGCA